GTCCAAACTTTTGACTGGTACTGTACTATAATATACACAAAGAATATCGGCCGATATATCGGTATCGGCCTTTTTTACTCCCTAATATCGGTATCGGCCCCAAAAAACCCATATCGGTCGGGCTCTAATTAACACACTCACCTGTAGCTCGGCCTCCAGCCCCAGACGCTTTATAAACGGGTCGGTCACATGGTAGGTTCTCTGGAAGTCCAGAGCCCGGTTCTCCTGCACACACACGAGACACGAGAGAGTTACACAGCAGAACCGGTCGATGAACTGCTGTTGTGTGCTGTACATGCTTCAGACTTGAGGTTTGGAATGACATGAGCGTGAGTTAATGAACTTCTCCTTTGGATATGTACACAGGGAGGAAGCTCACCCGGATCTGCCGGCGCAGGAGATCACGCGTGATGTTCCTCGGGGTCATGGTCTCACAGCACGCCATCAGCGGACGATCTGGTGCCAAAGATCTGCGATCATGCTGCTTTGCACTCTTTGGAGACAATGCTGGATACCTGCTTGATTCATTTACACTTTCATTAATTGTCAACACATACACTGATGTTCAAAAGTTTGGGATCAGTAAGATTTTTAAAGCTTTTTAAAGAAGTCTCTTCTGCTCATCAAGGCTGCTTTTATTTAACCAAAAATACAGGAAAAACTGTAAAATTGTGAAATATTATTATAATTTAAAACAGCTGTTTTCTATGTGAATATGTGTTAAACTGTAATTTATTTCTGTGATGCGCAGCTGTATTTTCAGCATCATTACTCCAGTCTTCAGTGTCACATGATCTTCAGAAATCATTCTAATATGCTGATTTATTTCAGGATTCTTTGATGAATAAAGTTAAAAAAGAACAGCATTATTACAGTACTTTTTTTTTTTCTAAAGAAGTACTTTTATTCAGCAAGGATGTGTTAAATTGATAAAAAGTGCTAATAAAGACGTATATTGTTAGAAAAGATTTCTATTTTAAGTAAATGCGGTTCATTTTAACTTTTTATTCATCAAAGAATCCTGAAAAAAGTTTAAAAGCTTCCAAAACAATATTAAGCAGCAAACATTGATAATAAATCAGCACATTATTATGATTTCTGAAGATCATGTGACACTGAAGACTGGAGTAATGATGCTGAAAATACAGCTGCGCATCACAGAAATAAATTACAGTTTAACAGATATTCACATAGAAAACCATTATTGTAAACTGTAATAATATTTCACAATTTTACAGTTTTTCCTGTATTTTTGGTCAAATAAATGCAGCCTTGATGAGCAGAAAATGTATATATAAGGTCTGACCGATTATTTAAACACATTTTTTAGAGTCAAATCTGCATTTAAGTCAAGACACTAAATGCAAAAACATTTTTATGCACTTGTCAATTTTAATTTTTATGCTATTTGTCCTTATAACTAGGGAAAAAAACAGCTAAAAATATGTTTAAGTGTAAAATACATTATCTGCATCTGTAGATTTCCATTACAAGAGTTTTATTCCTCTCTATATTCTGGAGGTTTGTTCATATTTCATTCACTCTGATCTATACAACATTTAAAACCTAAAAACAGGGTGGAGACGTAGTTTCTTTCTGGCTGTCGACAGAATTTTCTGATTTATGGAGTGATAAAAATTGATATATATATAAAAAAAAACACACAAATTACTGCATATTTAATTAGATAATGAATTATTTGAACAGAATATTTCCGAATACTAAAAATGCAATCTATCAACTGGGAAAGTATGGTGAGATCTCTTAACGTAAAGACACCTGTAGTGTATTAATAATTCAAAACTGGAGAAATTATTATATTATTATTATTATATGCACGTTATATAATGACGTTCGCGATTTGCTTTTTTAGGTTTAGTTTACCAAGCAGGCCTTATAGCTTTATCGTCAGCAGTACTAAAGTGTAAGTTTAAAGCACATACATGTGTTAATGTGACTAATTAATCGGACTTTCAAAACATAAACAACCGCAGACTAGCATTAGCCGACTAGCGACCGCTGCAAAACTACACATTTAAACAAACCCGAACACTTCTGACAGCAGCCAGCAGCGTGCTGCTTATTACAGTTTGTCCAAAAAGAGATTTACTGACAAATAACTCGCAGATATGAGAGAAGTGTGTGAGATATCGTCTTACCTCAGAGTCTGTCCCCGGCCTTATGTCTGCGCAGCGCGATGAAACACGCGAGGTTTACGCTGGAAACTCCGCTGTGCTCTCGGTAACCGGTCTCAACGCTTTAACCATCCGCTGAACACTGCCTACAGCTAATAAAGGACTAGTTGTGATGAAGTATTGGTGAGATTTTGAAGCCGCATTACTAGCGAGCGTCCTCGACTGAGCGCCTGACAGCCCGGGTTGCCAGATCCGCTCAAATGCAGCCGAGCGCTCTTCATCTTCAGCGAATCAACAGACTCATACTTTCGGTTTTACACGCATGTAATTGTGCTTGTGTTATATTCACCTAATTAATAAAAAAATATTAAATTATAGTACTTGTCAAACGCGCTTTAAATTATTTAATTTACATAGATTACTAAAAATAATGTATTTATGCGAATACTACCTACGTTTACGGCTATGAAGGAATATCTGGCAACACTAAAGTGTTCTCAAGGCATTTCCTGTTTTGTTCAATTACAAAATACAAGTCACTACTAGATTTGTTTTTGTTTGTGCACTTTTGTACTCTGTCGTCACTTTATATGAAAATCTTAAGTAAAAAGTTTATTATTATTATTTAAAGGTTATTATAGTTAACTAAAACTATACTTACAACCATTAATAAACATTTTCATTACTTCAAACAAAACATTAACTGAAATAAAATATTATTATTATTTATTTTATATGAACTATTTCAGCTAGTTGCCAGGGCAAAATTTCCCATTTTAGTTTCTTTTTATTTTTTATTTGATGTACTAAAATAACTGAAACTAAAATTAAGATTAACAAAAAATCTATGTAGACATATATAAATATATAGTTTGTTTAGCTAAAATTCCATTTAGCGCTAAAATAACTAAAAAAACTAAATAAATAAATTTATTTATTTAATTTAATAAATTAATTTATAAATTTTATTTATTTATTTAGTCAAACTAATTAATAAAAAACTATATAGACTATATAGACAAACAAAAACGACTAAAATTAAAGTGAAAAATTAGTAAAAACTATATAGACACGCACACACACACACACACACACATATATATATATATATATATATATATATATATAAAC